GATTCTAAACTTGGCCTAATGCATTGATACGCCATTGAATTCACTTCGGCCTATTGGATGAAGATAAAAATTGAATCGGTTGGAGTGTTTCTTTTGATTTTGAGAATAATGGGTGCAATCATTCATATCATGCGTGCTTATTGACTTCGTTGGGTAGCTTTTGAAATAGAGTATCGTACCAAACGGATAATTGGCTTGTTAACGCCAACATCATGGAGTTATTTGATGTTTTCTGCTCGATAGGCCCAAAATGAGCGATTAGGCCGAAGTAGTTTTCTACCCTATATGGTTATTTTTTTGTTATTTTTAGTAAAACTTAAAACAAAAAAAAAAACTGTTAAAAACTCAACGATCTCAAATTTCAAATAGACATTACTTTTATATAAGTTACATTTATCATAAGTGACGTTTACGTCATAGAATATATTGAAAAATGTCAAAGATGCCATTTTGAAAATAAAACACATGATCCAAAATGGCCGAATTTTAGCAATGATTTGATCTCGACCACGCGTTCGATCGGGTCTCTCATGAGCTTCTGCATCGGGCCCTGCTCTCTCTGGGCTTCGACCAGGGTTTCGTCCGCTGGCTCTCTCGAGTCGCTGCTGCCTCTTCATCGCGGCTGCTAGTAAATGGTTGCCTCTCCGAGCCGTTCCGTATCGTGACCCGATGTCGATGCAGCTCGTGCTCTATCTTCCTCCTCTCCTCACACGGGTGGAGCGCTGGTGTGCGCTGGTGACCTTTGCGTTGCGTATGCTGATGACATCACGATGATTGCCACCTCAACACACACGATCGACCGTATTTATCAGCTGTTTGGTAGTTTCGAGATCGTATCCGGGGCAATGCTAAATCGGCTGAAAACAGTGGCGATCGATGTCGGTTTCATCAATGGAGATCCACTGACGATAGCAGGGCTGCAGACAAAGGGGAATGTCAAGGTACTGGGCGTTATTTTCACCAACGCAGTGCGGCTGATGGTAAAACTATACTGGGACGCTTTATTATCCAGCATCTCGCAACTCATATGGTTACATAACATGCGCTCCCTTTCCCTGCAGCAGAAAGTGCTACTGCTGAACATCTTCATCACAGTGAAGGTGTGGTGCCTCTCCGTCTGTTATTCCACCGCAATGTGCTCACACGGCGAAGCTTACATCAACGATTGGGACTTTCCTTTTTCGTGAGCTACCCGCACGAGTGTCAATGCAGCAGTGTGCGCGCAGCAGAGAGCAGGGTGGATTGAAACTGCAACTGCCGGCGATCGAATGCGAAGCGCTTCTAGTCAACCGTCACCTGCAGGAGATCGTTTCCCTTTCCTATTATCAGTCCCTTTTCGCTCAAAATATTCCTCCTCCCGCCGATCGCCTACAACTTCTCTCACTGAAAATTCTCTTATTTCCACACTACACCAACAAAACCGCTCCAGCGATCAAATCCATCGTTTCTACTTGGAACAAACTGAGCTACTCAGAGTGGAACGAAACCATTCAGGCATCAATTTGAAAAAAGATCTGGATGAACATATCATCGAGAAGGCTATCGTCGAGCCAGCGTACTGATCTCTTTGTCAAGCTTCTGCATTCATGTTCCATCAGATGTCGCTGCTATTGTTTGCAGTGACATCTATCGGAAACTACGCATAATCTGTTTTCCGTTAATTGTTTATAGAAGACAGAGCAGTGCAAAGCGTACCAGACCTGCTCTATATATGCATTTAGATTAACATCCGACGTCCCTCCTTTTGCACACATTCTGCACACAAAATAGCTCACCCCTCACACCAGGGTTACCAAAATTACAGATCAATCTGTATTTCTACAGATTTTTCAGAGTTTTAAATCCAAGATTCTGTATTCACAGATAACAGATTTTTAGGATTTAAACAGATTACACAGATTTTTAAAATATGATCAAACATTAAAAACAAAATGAAACTTGAGATGTTTAAAGCAAAACATTTTTTCACTTTTGTGAAATTTTATCATCATCAACTTTTTGCTTTTTTGCGGTTAGAAAAGGAGAATAAGAACTGTCAGAAGTATTCCTTTTTTGTCAAGCCATAAGTAATTATGAACATATGTTTTTATCTATTTTTTTTTATAAAACTGGCTCAATCACTAATCAAAGGACATTTTTAAGGATTCAATGAATAAATTAACAACACAGATATAATCACAGATTTTCCGGACAAAACCTAAGATGAAAAGATTTTTTTGGACAAAAACACAGATTTCCTTTTGAGGGACTTCGGATATTAATCCGGTAGAGGTACCAGACATGTTTTGCAGTGTCATGTCAGGTACTCTATGTTGTAGTCTGTGAGAGGGAAATCACAAATTAAATACATGGTATGGTGAGATATTGAGCTCGTGAGAGAGAATTTTCTTCCTCAAATTTAAATTTTTGGCGCTTTCGGGACTGGTAGTAAAGCGGTTAAAAAAAAGTATGGGAAAAAACTTTTTTATTTAATTCTAGCTTGTTTATCAAATTTCCCAGAAAAAAAGTGAACGCCAAAGTCTATGAATTATTTCTTTAGGAGGTCGTCAACTTCTTTTAACTTGAATTTGCATCAAAAGCGTATTTATTCCACTTATACAAATTTCTATATGGGGATTTTTATTACTCACTACCAATGGGACAGCGCCATCTGCCTGAAAAATAGCCTTGACTAAATGGTTCATTGTCTGATCTACTTTAGAGAATAGACGTTCTGAACTTCAAGTTGGGATGGAACATAGTTTAATCGATGCTCTGTTGACTTGGTGGTTTATATATACTTAAATAAATTCAACTCCTACTTCCAATGAAAATTTAAATAATCGTGCAATAATCGAAGTCAATTAATCGATTAGCAGATAATCGAGGCATTGAACAATATATTAAAAATTAAACGATTATTTTAACAGATAATCGATTATCTCGATTAATCGAGTAGTAATCGAACATCACTACGCCCAATCTTGTAACATGATAACAGCGAGAAGAAATTATATTTTAAAAACGTTCATTAAGTACATCAACTTTGTCAATGTGAATATTGATAGTATAATCGATGTAGGCGAGCTAGATTTCATTTTGAGTCTAGAAGATTGATATATTTTTTAAATATCTTGAAAATGTTATTTATACCAAACCTAAATCAACAATATTTTATAAAAAAAATATCCCCCATAACAAACAATTATACAAAGTTTCATGAAAATCGGAGAAGGTTGAATTTTTCCTATTCTTCAGTTGGCGTGGAATAACTCACTAGTATTCATCCTTTGTGCTCTTAAAAGCTGTGTGTTGTAGCTTATCAACTAATCTATCGTTCCAAATCATAGATATATTTGAAGTTTTCTGGTCTACAGGACGAAACTGGGAGCTTATGCTAAAGTAAATTTTTACCTCAAGAACTCTTTGCTGGAAACTGGAAGCTTTACCCGGAGAAAGTTCATCTGTAACAAAATTGCAATATTGAGCAATAATTTCGTTCAACCGAATTGAATTAAAGTCATTTTGTCTACCGTATTGTTCTGGTAGATCCACTCAACAACGTGAGCATAATAGTGTACCCTGTGCAAGAGGAAGTGTACTGAAAACGTCATTATGCTGTCCTTCTTAGTTTGTCATTCTCCCACTATCGCAAGGTGGGGAGGAGAAAACTACACAGAGAGAGCTGAATCACAAAACCGACGTTGACGATGAGGACAACGTTGCTTGTTGGGTGAAAGTTTTCCTTACCACCCACATCCACCCACATCCACCCACACCTGCTTATCATCGTGTCGAGTTTACGAGTAGTTTTTGAGGTTGTGAGTGCGAGGGATATATTCAAAGCTGCTGAGCTGAGCTAGTCGTATAAACTTCATCCCACAGGCGGGTGACAGTCAGACAAAAACAGAACTGATGGATCCCGCATGTTTTACTGAAACAGGTCGTTAGCAGCAGCCGCGAGTGTATGGAAAGCTGGACAAGCGGTGCATTAAAAGCTTTTTCCATTCAATGTTTCACTGGTCTTGCATAGTATTTTTTTTTATCATTTTCAACACAAAATAAACCAGATCAACGTCAACGGGCGCGGAACAGTGCGAGATAAGTGGTAGGTTAGTTTTGTGTTTTCCTTTTTTTCCACTTAAAAATGAACTATGTTTTTTTTTAGGATGCACGCTTTATTCCTACCGGAACGGATGTCGTGTCATGATGGATCTGGATAAAATAAAAACAAAGCACTTTCATCGCTGAGAGTTTCCTCTCGTGATGGTCGTTTCCGCACAGAATTAGTTAGGTGCATGCAGTCGAGAACGTTGTTGACCGTTATCTGGCACTGGTTGGTCATTTAAACGTGGGCATGGGCAGGTAAGCTGATTGAGCTTTCTTGAATTCACCCTACTAATGTAAAATGTACTTTGTAAAAGGTGGCTTGGTCCCATTCATGCCATAATTCTATTAGTTAGCAGTCACGCGAGCCATTTGTTATCGGATGTGACAAACGATTTCTTACAGAAAAATCACATAGGTACCTACATAGGGTTAAGATCTAATTTCCGTCGTACTGAGCACAACCCGCGAACGGGTTGAACAAAAAGTGGAAAATTTCTATCATCTAAATTTATTTACCTTTCTGTACGTCCCGCCAGATTTGGTAAAGAGCCCCAAATTGTTAAGATATTCTTGAAAATCTAACACTGCTTCTTAATTCAAATACCATTCAAACACATTGAATCATCATTGGATTCCCTTCGGCATACGGATGAAGGCAGAAACATTGCTTTTCAATTAAACTGTCATACTTAACGTACGATTCATCCGTTCACGTCAAAATCATTTGATGTTTCTGCTCGATACGACGGGAATGGGCGCATATGCCGAAGTATTTCTCTACCCTACTAATGCAAGCTATTCAACTGGAAAACCGAGATTGTTCGAGGACGCTGCTGTATGTGTTTGTGGAAATACCTAGTAGAGGAGAGCTGTGGAAGTAGGAATGGTGGTTTAGGATGCATTGTACTTACATCGTACGGAATGTGGAACTGCTGTACCAGGTTGCACTGAAGAAACATTCGCACTGCCGCCCGGCAGGTGTCGTCATCGTCTAGATCGAAATCTGTGAATGAAGGATGAATGGCAAATTGAAAATAAATATGAGTTGTGTATGATACAGGATTTATGATAATAAACATGATGGAGGAAAGGTGATGAGGTTTGGTACCAGCAGTATTTTTCAACTTGAATACAGATACCTAGCATGTTTGAAAATATATATGAAGCGTTAAAAATAATTATTTTTGAGGTTAGCCAGGTAACCAGCGTTGCCAGATTGTTTTCAAGCTTATCGGTTACTTCATACGCGAAGTTTCGATTTTCAGAGTTGGTTGGAAATGCTGACATGAAGCTTTAGTGTGATAATTTATTAGCTAGAGAATGATCTTTTTAGAAGAGAGTAGGTGGATAGTTGCGTTAGAGTACGGCAGTATGAAAATTGAATAGAAGTTGAAAATGAGCGAAGGGCGATTAATGTGACAATTTTTAAAGATAGACGCACATCTTTTGCCTAACCCGTACGATGTACGCGGAGACTTGAAGTATGTCTCCAAGTCTACAGGCAAAAAATGTGCGTCCCTCTTTTGCTCATAAACTGACTGCAGCTGTGGAATATTTCTAGCGACGTTTTCATCAATACCTAAAGCCCCACGTTGCGAGAGCATTTCCAGTCGATGGTGTGTTATAATGCAATTCTTCTTTACCCAACTATTGTGTTGCTCCTCTCGTCATGACCAACGTGATCATCTCAGAGAGAAAGCAGTAGGGTGGTTGTTGCGTGCTGTACCATCATCAGCATTGTTGACGGCTACTCCCGCCTTGAGTTGTTACATTCAAAGTGTTTTTCTGTTACTTCATACGCGAAGTTAGCGATTTTCAGAGTTGGTTGGTTGGTTAGTTATTTGAATATTTTCAGAGTTCTTTTCACCATTTTTGCTGGCATCAGATGATTGCCAACTCTCTGGACGCTAACGCTAACGCTAAGTCGGATTAAAGGCTGACTAAAAGTAAATTGGTACGCCCCTCGCGCGCCGCTAGCACGCCTCTAGTGTTGGGAATCGATAATCTTTGACAGTGGTTTGTTTGCACTTCTACACGGTAAGAAAAAAGTACCCAACGGCCAGTTCACTTTTACCTACTTTTGACTAGTTTGTATCCTTTTCTCCTTCTAATGTTGTCAAAAATGGAGGAGTAAAACCACCCAACAGGGGTAGTAAAGTGTGGGAACTCAACGTTGAGTACAATCATGTCTACCTACTTTTGGGTATTAGTAACTTACTTTTGGGTAGAAAGCTAGTGGAAAATTCCATACAAATTCACACAAGTAAATGAAAATTACTTTGACCCGCTTTACCTACTTTTGAGTTCCTGCACTATAGTGCCGAGATGAGTGAAAAGATCTTAAGTTTGGGTACTTTTTTCTAACCGTGTATAGAGAACAACTGGTGCAAGTTTGATCAAAGTAGTCGATCGCGTTCTGAAATAACGTCAAATGGAACTCGAAAGAAGAAACAATATTGTGCACAAACTCCTGGAAAATCCGGAGTGGTCCGGTTCCAAGCTGGCTAAAGTGCTAAAGATGCCGAAAACAACAGTTTGTCGAGTGCTCAAAACCTACGATCTACGGACCTACGGACCTACGAAAAACTGGAACCAGGGATCATCAGCAGGTGTTGAGGTGCGTTAAAGCTAACCCCGGTGTTTCGATCCGAGATGTGGCCAGAAGGTACAACGCCAACTCTCAATTGGTGCGGAAGATCGTTGCCAGGGAAGGATACAAGTCATACAAAGCCAGTAAGCATCAGCACCGGCACATGAAGCAGAATTCCGTGGCCAAAAAGTATGCAAGGCTCTTGAACGACCGTGTTTTAACGAAACACAAGGGCTGAAATTTTATCGATGACGAAACATACTTCAAACTCGATTTTAAGCAGCTTTCCGGTGAAAAGTTTTACATCGCGATCGCGGGAACATTTAAGTTCGTGTTTGCCGACAAGTTCGCGAAGAAGAAGGTCATGATTTGGCAAGCGATTTGCAGTTGTGGCCTGAAAACGGAACCATTCGTCACATCCTCGACGATGACATCCGAAGTTTACATCGAAGAATGCCTGAAAAAGCGTGTATTGCTGCCTCCACGGTGGTTCTGGAGTGGTATGCTGCCAACAAGATCTATTTTGTCCCCAAGCTAATGAATCCTCCGAATTGCCCGGAATTTCGACTGGGCAATTTCAAAGCAGCGACTTCGACGTAGTGGCGGGGCAGTCAAGGACATCCAGCAAATGCGGGCGAAATGGAAGACAAGCGCTGATTCCGTGTCCGTTTCCACTGTACGGGCGCTGATGGGCTCCATCAAGGGGAGGGTTTGAGATTTCGTTCGAACTGGAGAAATGTAACCATCTAATGCTATAACTTTGAAGTTTTAATAAAAGTTCTGTAAAGCAACCATTAATGGACTTTTTAAACTTATTGAATAACGAATTGCAGGTCTTTTTGTGCGTACCAGTTTACTTTTAGTCAGCCTTTATATCGAACCCTACATCCGGGTGCGTTGATTTTTCCTTTTCTAAACTTTTTTGTTTCTGTAACGGGTGTTTTTCCTCCTTTCAACTTGATATTCTAGACGAATGGAACGTTTTCTATGCCAACCAATACATGAATTTATATATTGTGTGGCAAGCACAATGATTCTTTATCTCCAGGGAAGTACAAATACGTCAAAATTTCCTCAACCAGACCGGAAATCGAACGCACCGCCTCCGGCATGGTCCCTTTATTGTCTGGACCATAAACTATCTGAGGCCCCTCAAGTTGCTACTCAGGTTTATTAGTCTGTTCGTGTTTTGGATGGATCGCTCTTTGCAGTTTATTTTTTTAGATAGAATTAAGCCACACTTGACCGCAAGAAGCGTGTCTGGGTAACTTTCCAAACAAACTAGAAATTTTGAATACATAAGAAGACCAAATCCAATCTTTAAACGAAGACAAAATATCTAGATCATATATCAATATGACAATTCATAAGCTTTTTCATGCTAAGTGAAACAGACACAATCTCATGAAAGACCTTAAAAGTATTAAAGTGGATAGAGGAAGTTTGCCAGTTGTAATACTAGTGATCCTCTAACTAACCATTCGGGCTAACACATCCAAATTATCATTTTGTTGAGGCCGTAGTGCCAATTAGGGAAGCACTAATGCCATAACTGGCACGCTTCTTACCCAAGTAACATTAATGCATAGAATTATGTTGAGTAAACTTTTTTACAACCAAAACCAGTCATACAAAGGTTAAATAAACTGTTATAGAACACATTAGGTATACAATAAATTGGAAATAAGATCGAATCTCAACATTTATCGCTAAAATGCTAATCCTCCGAATTCGATGGCAAAAAATTAGATTAGATTACATTCAAAGTTATTTTTGTTACTTCTGGTTTAGGTAGTGATAAAAGTCGCTAGAACTATTCTACGGTCTTTAAAAAAATTTACATTTACTTAGGTATCCCATTCAACAAGTGGTGGCGGGTTCATACGAAGGTTTCGTGATCGCCAAAATCACCCCCGAGATGGACAATTGAGCAGTTCCACCAGATGCTAGATGGCCTCACCGGAGAGGAGAGCTCATTGGACGGAAACCAGTCGTCATTTCAATGCTTGGGTAGTGGATTGGGTGAGCATGTCTACCTGCTGGAAGCTCTGCAAAGTTGAACATCACCCTGGCCAACTTAAGAACCATCAGCACCTTCCGCAAGGATGTTAGGGAATCCATTATCGACGTCACTTGCTGCAGTACGTCACTAGTGGCAAATATGAACTGGAGAGTGTACGAAGAGTACACCCATAGTGACCATCAGACGATCCGGTACAGTATCGGCGAACGGACACCGGTGGAAATGCGGAGGACGAAAGTAAGCGAGCGGAAGTGGAAGACGAAGGCAATAAAGATCTCTTCATCGAAGCTCTAAAGGTAGACAGCAGCGTCCCGGGTCTAAGCGCGAACGAGTTGACCGAATCATTAGCAAGGGCATGTGACACGACTATGCCGAGATAACTGGAGCCAACGAACAGGCGGCGTCCAGCTTACTGGTGAAACGAGGAAATTAGCACGCTCCGTGCTAGTTGTCTCAGAGCCAGAAGGCGCGTTCAGAGAGCAAGGACTGAAGCAGTCAGAAAGGAGCGCAGGGTGGTGTTCCGAGCGGCCAAGGCTGCACTAAAACGAAAGATAAAACTAAGCAAGTCAAACAGTTTCAAGGAGCAGTGCCGAGATGCCGATGCCAACCCCTGGGGCAACACATACCGAGTCGCGATGGCGAAGATCAGAGATCCAATGATGCCGGTTGAAATGTGTCCCAAGAAGCTGAAAGTCATCGTGGAGGAATTTTTCCCACAGCATGACCCAACGACCTGGCCACCTACACCATATGGCGAGGAAGATGGAGACAACGTTGAACAAGTCTCCAACGAGGAACTCCTAGCAGCAACGACAGGGTTGAAGGCGAAGAAAACTGCAGACCCAGATGGAATTCCCAACGTCGCGTTGAAGAAGTTCCCGGACATGTTAAGGATTGTGCTTCAGAAATGTCTGGACGAGGGTCAGTTCCCTGATAGGTGGAAGATACAAAAGCTTGTGCTGTTGCCGAAGCCCGGAAAACCGCCGGGGGATCCTGCATCGTATAGGCCAATATGCTTGCTGGATACTGTCGGAAAGCTCTTGGAGAGGATCATCCTGAACAGGCTGACGAAATGCACGGAGAGTGAACACGGATTGTCGGAGAGGCAGTTCGGATTCCAGAAAGGGAGATCAACGGTGGATGCAATTTGGACAGTGATTGACAGTCCCAAGAAAGCTTCCAAACAGAAGCGGGAGGAAATCGATACTGCGCCGTGATTACGATTGATGTGAAGAATGCATTCAATAGCGCCAGCTGGGAGGCCATCGCCAAGGCGCTCCATAGAACCGGGTCTACGCGACAAACACGGGGCATAAATCGCTTAGAATCACGGCGGGAGTTCCACAAGGCTCCATTCTAGGTCCCACGCTGTGGAACGGAATGTACAATG